GGATTACGGATGAGAGACAACGCTGGAGTGGATCCACTGCACTCCCAGCTACACTCCTAATTTATTATCATTTATTTAAACCCCCCTTTTTATTTAAACTTCTTTGTCCACACTTGCTTAACCACAGATCTTAAACTAAACCAGATGTTATTGCCTCAAATGTCAAGTTTCAAAGAACACTGTCTCTTAATTACCAAAAATTTCACACATGAATACAAACACACTTTTGTATGATCAATGCTAAGTAGATGGCAAACATGTATCTAAGTGTGTGGACAAGCAAAACTGAAACAAGCCATGCAAGTGTAGTGTAGTCGATCCTTGATTTGAATTGTTTTTTTAAATTTTATTATGTTGTTATCTGAGGTCAACTTATGACATTCGCTTGGTTTTTGCATTCAAAAACATCAAAATGAATAAGTAATAGGCTATTTTCTACCCTAGTTTTGAGCCCAGCTGAAAAACGCTCGTTTTTTTTGGGCGCCTCGCATTGAAGACTTGGAAGTAAACGCCCACAGCTGTGAGTGGATAACAGTTTTGCATATTATAATGAGTTTCGACTCACTCATCGGTGCACGTGGGGGAAATTGTTTTGAAAACGTCCAATGTTGTAAAATGGCAACCGGAATGATTCACCCATACATGTTCGACCCAGAGTCTTTGCGTTGTGCAATTCCTGTCGTATCCAATATAGACGGCACAGCACCGTTCTTTAATCTTAATCGGAATCCAGTCTTGCTTACAAAACAATCCTCAGTGAAATGAAACGAACAGACGGACAATGTCGATTAGCTATGATTAGCTATGTGTGTAATGCGCGAATCGGTGGGCGGGGCTAAACCGGCCGTGTTGAATTAGGCGTTGATCTTCTTCTGCAGGGGTGATGTTTTATCCTCTTTGACGTCATAGTTCCCCACTTTGAAAAATAAGACGTTTGCTGAGCTGTCAATAAAAGCTTTTATTGGACTAACAAGGACGTTTTCCGTTCTGAAACTTACAGGATATTCTTATAATATGATGAACTCTTAGATGTCAAAAGCTCAAAGAAAATTTGATTTCTCAGTTCATCACCCCTTTAAAATCTATTTTATCATTTTATGTTATTTTATTTATTGTAATTTTATCATTTTTTAATGAAATAATAATAAAGTTTTTTATACATAAAAATGGCCATATATATATATATATATATATATATATATATATATATATATATATAATATATATATATATATATATATATATATAATTTTTAATAAATTATATAACTATATAATTATATATATATAAATATATAATTTTTTAAATAACAAAATAATCCTTTCATGGGAAAGTTGAAAACAGTTTTCTTTGAGGAATAAAACGTTCAAAAGATTCGTTTTTTTTTTTAACAGAAATCGTTTGTAACATTATAAATGTCTTTACTGTCACTTTTGAACAATTGTGTCCTTGCTGAAAACTAAAAATATTCATTTCTTACTTTACTTACCCCAAACTTTTGAGCATCAAGTTAGGAATTTACCAAAATAAATCTGTAAGAAATCTTTAATCTTGAAAATTAAGTTAAACAATATTAAATGTGTTTTTATTAGAAATATACTGTATATTGTACTGCAAAAGTTGACGACAACAATGGCTTTTGCTTTAAATATAGGCCCATTATAGAAATATTAGTTATTTTACTATTTTACCACAGTTTAACCTGTTTGTTGCAAACGACTTGGTTTTTGCTTAAAGATGAATCTCTTGTAAGAAAATAATGGGTTAGTTTGAGCAGCTTGTGCAAAATGATACCATCTGTACCCGTTTGCTTTCTCACACAAATAGGCAAACAAGACACAATTTGTGTTTGGGAAACATAATCTAACCTGCTGTACATTAAACATAATATGGCATACTGTATATTGTGAGTGATATGCACTTTTTGATTGATGTGTTAGTTTTTCTATTAGACTGACACAACAGCTGGAAGCCCAAAGCAATGACCTTCACATTGAAAACCTAATTCTGATAGAGGAGAGACAGTGCACCCAAATTACTGATATTACATTCTGTTGACAGATCTCATTTTGTGATTGTTCTAAATCCACACAGTAAAGCAAAATATCAACAAGAGTCAAAGAGATAGCTTTGCACAAGACAGGAAGAGTGACAGACTTTACACGAAAGGGTATGTAAGCAAATAGAGGTGTACCGCAGGGGTCACTTTACTTCTCGAAGCATGCAGACTAGACAACTCCAGAACACTTTGGGGATGACCTCATACTGTCTATCAAACTGGACGACACACATTTGGAAATTGCAAAACAACAACATGGGACGAGACAAGAGTGATCTTAACAACTGTCAGGTGATCATTCTCAAGATGATATTTTCTTCTTTTGCTTCATGTCCCTATCATCATGTGTCTAGATTAAAATAATGATAATATTTTAACCTTGAGTTTTATATTTTATTTAATTTCGTTAGAGAAAATTGATCTTAACCCTATCAGAGTGAGGACCTGAATCAGAGCTAAACTGGAGCAGATGATGTCATGTTCATCCTGTAAATTGTGTTTTTTCTACAGTCCTAAAGCAAAGGCAGCTGTGTGTGTATGAAGGTAATTTCTTATGTTACTGGTTTCCCTTCCAAGGCGCCATAACGTCTAATGATCTTATGAAATTTCTCACTATAAAATCATAAGTTGAACATAAATTAAACAATGGACAGACGGTTATAAATCAGTTTACTTCTTTCAGCTGCTCCAACCAGCAGCTGGTGGTATCATGCATGATATTCAAGTCTACTGCCTTCAAAATCTGACTAGATGAAAGCCTCCAAGTAAACAGGATGATACACTAATATTGGCTTCAGATATGACTTGATCTTCCTATTGTCAAATTCTGTCAGCAAATGCAATTTTCAGTATACTGACAATATATTTTACAGTTTCTATCTGCATTTAATGTAAATCTAACATACAAACCTATTTAAACTACTATAATCTTTTTGTTAATATAAAAATATGGGATGAATCAAGTGAGACGGTGAAAGACCACATGATAATTTAGAGTTCAAAATAGGCCTCTCGGGTAATTGTAGCCAACAATAAAATAAAAACAGAGTATGTGTTACCTAGAAACAGAAAACACTATTAGGTAACAGATGATAATTAAACACACACACACACACACACATAAATAAAACATAATTTATAAGGTAGGGTAAATAATAGTTAGCCATATAACAGGTTTTTACTTTAGCATTTTTACAGTGAATCTATGAAAGTTGCCTTCGGGTTAACTTAGGCTGAAATTGATCTGACAGCAGTAAGAGCCCATGGGCTATAAACGTTTATGTTGCACACAAGTCCCTTGATGCCTCAGATCTGCTCTGTCACCTTCACATATCGCAATTCAACAGTTTTACAGAGAATCATCTATTCAGAGCGTCTATTTACATTTTTATGGTTATATTATCATCCTTGGTTAATTTTAGTCAACAACAGGGGTGTCCATCCTCCCGATATGTCATTATATAGTGTATATCTTGGGTGCATTTCAGTGCAAGTGATCGTTATTGCAAAGATTTGGATAACGTTTCACCTTAATGATGATAAAGAATGACTTCCATACACTGTGAATGAAGATTAAGCTCACACCGAGCTCGAGGTAGCGAAGAGGGGAGAACTTACCAGCGGTGTATAGACAGATATCCACAGTCCCTGACTGATGCTGATTTTTCACGGTACTGAAGAACTATTGCACCTTTTTCCACGGGAGACGGTGTGTTTTGAAAGCACCTGACGCGGTCCTAAGGTTTAACACCATCTCGCCTCCCGTTTGCGATCGTGATTTCTATGGATTGACCATAGACTGACAGGGGCAAAGAGGAAGATACCATTAATTATCTGCAGGGGAGACGGTACGCTGCAGCGAGAAGGAATACGGAATAAAATCGTTATAATTTAATATAATCAAAGCTTAAAATGACTAAATAAATATTTTCTGGTTGCTGTTTTTTTATTTATTTAATATGTTTTTTTTCTTCTTTAATTTGATTAGGTCGATTCAACAAGTCCGAGAGGTGGCCTCCCAGTGTTTACTTTAAGCACACTCTACAGCAATAAAATATTTTTTAATCAGCTTAAAATGTCACCGTTCCCAAATGTCTTATAGAATTTTCAGTCACTTAATTTGTAACCTAAGCTATGAGATTAAAATGTTTATCTAACATATAACCGTAATTTTGTGGATCTAATAAAAACTCATGGGAGAAAAAAGAATCATAGATCCCCACCCTGGCACCAACAAACAGTAGCCTATGTGTGATATATGGCCCACTTTACATCTCAAACATAGAGATCTCAAATCAGGACCTTGATCCGCCTCTGTCTGTCAAAAAAAAAAAAAAAAAAAAAAAAAAAAACTATTATGATCAGCACTGTTATTCTTCAAAATTGCTGATATTCTCACAATGTAATTCTCTATATGCTATGTGATCATATATATTTAAAAATCAACATCACAATTGTAAATTTATTTCAAAATAAATGTATTTTCAAATGCAGACTTTGAACCATAGACTGTAAAAAATAGCTTTGAACAGATCATCACCTTTGCTGAGCTCACGTTTCAAAATAAAAGTTGTTGAAGTCATCTCAGTTGGTACCTTTTACTGTCTACTATGGTTGGTACATACTGTAACTCAGTCAGGGGCGGATAAGTCGCAATTATAACTACTCAAGTCACATTAATGTAATTAAGAAGTCAATTTATTTTATATTATTGATTATTAATTATATTATTATCAAAATGTCACACTACACTGAAGAATACATTTATATAAAAATAGAACCGAGTTTTTTGGTGAACATATAAGTAATGCAGTATTTTACAAAACATCTTCTATGTTTTTATTATTTAAAAACAGGAATTATGTATCATCAAACAACGTCAGCTCACAGTTTTAATAATGTATATTAAAAAGAGGAACTTTTATTATGAAATATAAGTTGGCAAAGGCCAGTTACAATAGCTAGCTTCAATTACCAGTATCATTTGACCAAATAAGAGAAACACCTCTCTGTTGACTGTCTTTGGAGTTGTTTATTTTTTAATACAAAATGGGAGCCTGTATGGCGCTGTGCTCTCTTGCGAGCTGTGTAAGTATTCTGTTTAATTTCCTACGTTTTAACTGAGCTGCCCCTTGACAGCGTCGCTAAATCGTTTTCTGAACATAAAATTTAGACTAACATAACTAATAAAACGTGTGGATAAAAAAGTACGTAATGGAAAATGTGTAACGTTAATTGTAGAGCTTTTCACTGAAAAACAACTAACGTTACACGGAAGTGTGTTCATATTTGCATTTAGATCTATTGTATCAAGTCCCAACTGGTTTCATAACAAATAACAATATGATTATATGAACCATTCTGTGATATTTATTCTTCTTGTAGTTTCGACGCGGTTTGTGATTTGCTCATAGTAGTTCAGGTTCTACAGGTTTTCAGAATAACAATTTGGGTTCACCAGTAACTTACTAATGTTCAACGCCCATTTTCAAAGAATTGTAATTTTTTGTAATAATTTTGCTGGGGAGTTGGTGTTCAGCTGAGTATGAGTAACAGTCATGTGTTGAATTTCCTTAATTTAACTTTTATGCAATATGCATGACTGGATTTATGAAGGCCAAAGTCTTTAGCAATAATTTTCTGACTGACTCCTGCCTCAATAGAGTCAACAAATCCTTCCTTCTCTCTGGTCATTTGTTCATGAAAATATGCTCTAATTTTACAAGTCAAAGCATGCATTGATTTTATAAAATGCTCCAATCTTTCATATGTGGCTGTGTACTTTATTTACTATATGTGTATCTTTACTATTAAAGACACAAACATAACTATACAACTTGTTCAAGTATACTAGTAAATGCATTAAATAAAATAAGTTTTCACAATCTAGTTTCAGCCATTTGTTCACACTTTGACCTGTTATTTGTTAGATTAAAGGTTTAGTTCAGCCAAAAAGAAAATTATGTCATTAATGACTCACCCTCATGTCGTTCCAAGCCCGTAAGTTCATCTTCGGAACACAGTTTAAGATATTTTAGCTTTAATCCGAGAGTTTTCTGTGCCTCCATTGAAAATGTATGTACGGTATACTGTCCTTATCCAGAAAGGAAATAAAGACATCATCAAAGAAAGTAGTCCATGTGTCATTAGTGGGTTAGTTAGAATGTTTTAAAGCATTGAAAATACATTTTGTTCCAAAAACAACAAAAACTACAACTTAATTAAACATTGTATTCTCTTGTAAGTAATGATGTTAAAAATTCAGCTTTGTCATCACATTTTAAAAACACATTCAAATAGAAAATTATACGTTGTAATAATATTTAGCAATATTACTGTTTTTACTATATTTTTGATCAAATAAATACAGGCTGCAGCCTTTGTGAGCATAAGAGACTTTCAAAAATGTTTTTTTTTTTTTTTTTTTTTTTATCTCACTGACCACAAACTTTAGTTTGGTATTGGATGTGTACTCTGTAGAACCTTTGTTCAGTACATCTGTTTTCTAGTTAGAAATGTTTTTATACACACTGTATATTAAAGTTTCAATTTTTTTTCCAGATTGTTTGATTTCTGGCAAATTGTGGCAATTAAACAATATTAATATTGTTATTATTAATATGTTATATAAAGTTAATATGTTATAAACAATATTGTTAACTGGTGATTCCTTTCACTCCCCCCATGTTACAGGCCTCATGTTTGTGTGGCTCTGCTCCATGTCTGCTCTGTGGCTGCTGTCCTTCTTCCAACAACTCCACTGTCACCCGGCTGGTCTTCTCTTTCTTCCTCCTGCTGGGGACACTGGTGTCTGTAATCATGATCTTGCCGGGCATGGAGACGCAGCTTCGCAAGGTGGGTCCACCATCAGTGCGCATTTACTTCACGTGTACTTTCAATGCATTGTGTTGATTTTCTCTGTTTTTAATGTCTCTTCAGATTCCTGGCTTTTGTCAAGGGGGGACCACAATACCAGGGATCGACAACCATGTTAACTGTGACGTGATTGTCGGCTACAAATCAGTCTACCGCATGTGCTTTGCTATGGCGTGCTTCTTTTTCCTTTTTTCTGCAATAATGATTCGTGTAAAAAGCAGCAAAGACCCTCGTGCTGCTATTCAGAACGGGTAGGTCTGATTTATGCTTCATGACCATTAATTAATTCTGCTATTTTTGTTGTTGTTGTAATGTTTCCTACATGAATTTAAATTGGCTCGATTTTATCATTAAATACTTTGTCAACAGGTTCTGGTTCTTCAAGTTTCTGATCCTAGTTGGCATCACTGTTGGAGCCTTTTTCATCCCAGATGGCACATTTCATGATGGTACATTTTTGGTTGAACTCTTCCTTTAACAGAACATAATAAAACAATTTCCATTTTCATATATTCACAAAGGGAAACACAATGACAGCATGGCAATGATGTTAAGCTCTAAATGCAGCAAAAACATGATGATGTTAGTTTGGGAAGCCCGAAACGCAGGGCTCAATTTCAAGGGATGCATAAAATGCCCGGTTTTCTGCTGGGAAAAAGTCCATTACTTTTTAATGACTGTTTTGAATGCTCTGACATGCATGGGAAAAGATGGGTATTGAAAGTAGACTAGGATGTTATTATTTTTTCAGAGCAAATTACATTTGCAGGAAGAATGCGTTGTTACTGTCTTGCCAGAATCCTCATGGTGTGGAATTAAAGATGCAGAACTTTGTGTTCAGAGTTCATGGGTAACTTCCAAAACAAGATCTTGACATTAGTATGCTTCATTGTGAATCTAAGGATGAAAAAATGGGCCCTTCAGAGAAGCATGTTTTATTAAACCTAGTTATAAATATAGTTTAAAGACAATTCACCCAAAAATGAAAATTCTGTCATCATTTACTCATCAACCTGAATGACTTTATCATCTGCAGAAAACAAAAGAAAATATTTTGAGAAATATCCCAGTTTTGCTATTGTTGCTTTTTTTTTTTTCCCCATACGCATGGGTGTGACGCATTTGTATGCAATTTCCACAAGCACAATTGTTTCCAGCTGTTTCATTTTATTCTTTTTTTTTATTACAGTTTGGTTCTACTTTGGTATTGTTGGCTCCTTCATGTTCATCCTGATCCAGCTCATCCTCCTAATTGACTTTGCCCACTCCTGGAATGAGGTGTGGGTTAGGAATGCTGAGGAGGGCAACAACAAATGTTGGTTCTCAGGTATGTAGAGAGCTGATGCACAGTAAGACATCCTGTTCATCACTATAGGCTTGCAAAGAGGTGTGTCCCAATCCACTCTTTTCCGAGAAAGAAACATGAGACTATATTCTATGTCTACAGGTCTGTTGTTCTTCACTATCCTGCATTACGCCCTTGCCTTTGCTGCGATCGTGCTATTTTATCTATACTACACCAAACCTGACGACTGCACCGAACACAAGTTCTTTATCAGCTTCAACCTTATTCTCTGCGTCATCATATCTGTGGTCTCCATTCTGCCAAAAGTACAGGTAAAGTATTAAAGCACATGTCAGAGTACTTTTCATTTCTGATCTTCGAAATTCCCTCCAAAAAATGGAAAAACATACAAATAAAACAATTACACAAATTTCCAAGGCACTTCTTTTGCAAAAAGTGAGTTCTACGCAATGTTTTTGCCTGTTACGATAGTCACTGTGTCAGATTATACGATTTTTGACTTCTAAATTCTTGTTGATGTTACTTACTGCCTGCAATTCTGACTCATGAACGGGATATTTTAGAGCTGGGACCACGTCATCTTTCAGTTTCAAACGATCTGCAAATCCAGCGTCGAACTGGGCCTTGTTCATATAACATTTGTCACCGAAATGCCTGGAACAAACACACTTGCACAACTTGAAAAACGAACTGCATCCACTGTTCCCCTAACGCTGCGTTCTTTGGGATGCTGAACAAGATTATCTTTCTCTCACAACCAAAAACACACTTCTTTGATGACATTGTTGATTTTGTGGTCTAAAAACAAAATGACAGCGCTGCCGGTCTGTAACCTGATCTAAGCACGTTGATGGGCGTTGCTCTTGCTCTGATTTGATGTGTGCTGGCAGTGCACTCTTCCAGGAGAAGTGCCCATATAAGGAATTTCACCCTATATGACGTCATACTCGGAAAAAAAAAACATTACGAAATCTTGTAGGAGTGTATTTGGCACAGAAAAATACGTCCAACATATTTTTTTGAAACTTTGGCCAAGTTTAGCATGAGAATCTAACTATCTAACAGTGTAAACAAGTCAGAATGCATGAAATAGCATTAGACATCCCCTTTAAGATATTAAGCAGCATAAAGACCTTGAATGTGAAGCAACATACAGGAAATGACAAAACCGCTTTAACTAGCTGTTCGACATACTGTATGTAACATTTTGCCTCGGTACACAAATCCTGACATGAATGCTGATTTATAATGTGCATAAGAAAACAGTCTCCCTGTTGTACTGAAGGTCATCTACTATTTGCATTAGCCTCCAGCTTTTGTCTTTTAACCGGAACTTCTTTGTTCCCTCTTTTGCATTCAGAATATCAATGCTGGCCTGCCACAACAGACAAGCTTTCTTCACTGAAAATCTGCAGTTTAGATTCTGTAATTTCATACGAGCTTCATTGGTGTTTACAATATCTGATGTGTACTTAACTAAGCATGTTTCTTTATTTTTGTATGTTTTTGCAGGATGCCTCACCACAGTCTGGTCTGCTTCAGTCCTCTATTATTACCCTGTACACTATGTATGTCACCTGGTCCGCCATGACCAACAATCCTAGTAAGTTATGCAAGAAAATCTCAGAAAATATGTACTCTGATGAAAATACCTGACTTTGGTCCCTCTTCTCATTTGACGAGCTTTCTTTATGAACCTGCTCGGGTTGATGCTTTTTTTGGTGAGTTTTGTGGTGTCATAAACACGAGATCCTTTATAGCCTCCTTACAGAATAAAGCCAAATTACCCGTTAGAATCCAGATTATGAATTTATCCCTCTTTACCTATATTTTGATATGGTTTAGACTAGTATGTATATTATGATCTAGTAAATTTACCTATTAGCAATCCAAATAAGCAATAAAATGTGATTAGCTGAGCAATAGAGGTGTAGTGTTTAGTTGTAAAGTATATAATTTAATTACAGCAATTAATCATATTATGGTTTAGTGTGTTCACTTTTAAACCATTTATTTTTCTGACTCTACCCATAGATCGTGAATGTAACCCTAGTTTGCTCAGCCTGGTGTCCAATATCAGCGCATCTGAGGCAATGCCCACAAGCTCCCCTGGGATGGTGCAGTGGTGGGATGCTCAAGGCATTGTGGGATTGGTTATCTTCCTCTTCTGCACCTTTTATGCCAGGTACATCAAGCACAAAAAAAATGAACATGATTTAGATTTTTGTGTATTTTACAGCTCTACTTTACTATTAGTATTTAGGGCCCAAGCCCTGAAAGGGCGAAGGCCCTATTGTTTTCCTTGGGATTATTTTTCTTTACTATTATTAGGGCCCAAGCCCTGAAAGGGCGAAGGCCCTATTGTTTTCCTAAGGATTATTAGGGCCCAAGCCCTGAAAGGGCGAAGGCCCTATTGTTTTCCTTAGGATTATTAGGGCCCAAGCCCTGAAAGGGCGAAGGCCCTATTGTTTTCCTTAGGATTATTAGGGCCCAAGCCCTGAAAGGGCGAAGGCCCTATTGTTTTCCTTGCGATTATTTTTCTTCTCTATTATTATTATAATAATTATTATTTTACTACCTTTTGGGCACTTTTGGGGCCCTTAACGTGCTCGAAAACTCTTGAAACTTTGCACACGGGTCAGAACCCGCGGCCATCAGAGCCGGGCTGAAGCTGGTACCTGGGCGTGGCAGGGGGGCTCGTCAGCGCCCCCTGGAACGGGGTCCGAACACTCGGTCCATAACTCAAACACGCTTGCATGTAATAATATGAAACTCGGTACACATGTTGATCTCATCGTTTCATCTATACCTCGCGCTCTTACTTTTTACCCCAGCCCAACAGGAAGTCGGCTATTGAGGTTTGTTTGTAAAACGCTCGCAATGGTATTTGAAATACTCCTCCTAGAGCTTTGATCCACATTCGACGAAACTCGGTCAGCGTGAAGTCAAGACATTGAGGATGAAAGTTTGCGAGGGGATTTTTGATATCTCGAACGGTTTGTCCGTGGCGAGGAAACGAAATCATGGCGAGAAACGTGAAACAGGAAGTGTGTTATAACCTCAGCATACATTAACTGATCTTGATGAAACTTCAGCAGTCTGTTTGCTGTAAGAGGACGATCACATGGATTTGACTATTGTGAGTCAAAGTTATAGCGCCACCAACTGGCAGCAGGAAGTGTGTCACTTTCAAAATGCTTTGATATCACCCTTTTATTTTTACCCGATTTGCTTCAAACTTAATCTGTATAATGTAAATACATAGCAGATGAAGACCTGTGAATGGATTCTTGATATCTTTGATACTGTTGCCGTGGCAGAGCATTAAACTTTAAAATTCTTTTTTTTTGATGATTTTGAGACTCTTAGCGGCTTTTGGGGCCCTTAACGGGTTTGAAAACTCTTGAAACTTTGCACACAGGTCAGATTCCACAGCCGTCAGAGCCGGGCTGAAGATGGTACCTGGGTGTGGCAGGGGGGCTAGACAGCGCCCCCTGGAACGGGGTCCGAACACTTGGTCCATAACTCAAACACGCTTGCATGTAATAATATGAAACTCGGTACACATGTTGATCTCATCGTTCATATATACCTCAAACTATTACTTTTTACCCCAGCCCAACAGGAAGTTGGCTATTGAGGTTTGTTTGTAAAACGCTCGCAATGGAATGTGCAATACTCCTCCTAGAGAATTCAAACACACGGCACGAAACTCGGTCAGCATGAAGTCAAGGCATTGAGGATGAAAGTTTGCGAGGGGATTTTTGATATCTCGAACGGTTTGGCCGTGGCGAGGAAACGAAATTATGGCGAGAAACGTGAAACAGGAAGTGTGTTATAACTTCAGCATACATTAACTGATCTTTATGAAACTTCAGCAGTGTGTTCGCTGTAAGAGGACGATCACATGGATGTGACTATTGTGAGTCAAAGTTATAGCGCCACCAACTGGCAGCAGGAAGTGTGTCACTTTCAAAATGCTTTGAAATCACCCTTTTATTTTTACCCGATTTGCTTCAAACTTAATCCGTATAATGTAAATATACGACAGATGTAGACCTGTGAATGGATTCTTGATATCTTTTAAACTGTTGCCGTGGCAACGCATCAAACTTTACCATTCTTTTAGGATGCTTTTGAGACCCTTAGCATGCTTCAAATCGCATGAAACTCGACAGACACATCACATTTATTAGCCAGTAGACATGTGCAAAGTTTCAGAAACGGGCGTGGTGAGGGCTCAGTAGCACCACCTTTTGACAAAAGTGGGGTTGTTAGTTTTAACTAGAGTTACAAAAATCGGTATGTATATTGTACTCCTCGAGCCGGACAACTTTCTAATTGACACTCATTAGCTAGGACCCACAGAAAGTCAGATATCTTTGTTTGAATGTAGAGAAAATCTTAGAATTTTGCCAGTCTCTCAGTGTCTCTCTGTGTGAGTGAGAGGAGGGGCGCCTGTCAGGTTAATTTTAACCCTTTATTTGCTGTGTGCGACTTCTCTGGCATTTTCGGGGGCCTTAACATCCTCTAAAACTCTTGAAACTTTGCACACGGGTCAGAACCCATGGCCATCAGGGCCGGGCTGAAGCTGGTCATCGGGCGTGGCAGGGCGGCTCGACAGCGCCCCCTGGACTGGGATTCGAACATTTGTCCATAAATCAAACACACTTGCGTGAATTAATATGAAACTCGGTACAATTATAGATCACATCAGGCCAAACAACTTTCGTGCTCTAAGTTTTACGACAATTAAAATGGAAGTTGAGAATTATGGGTTGTTTGAATAGTTGTCCTAGGAGAAATACATCAAATTACAACGCATGTGTTTACCAATCACAACCAAACTCGGTGTGCAAGAAGTCAAGACATTGAGGATGAAAGTTTGTGAGGGGATTTTTGATATCTCAAACGGTTTGGCCGTGGCGAGGAAACGAAATTATGGCGAGAAACGTGAAACAGGAAGTGTGTTATAACTTCAGCATACATTAACATATCTTGATGAAACTTCATCAGTGTGTTCGCTGTAAGAGGACGATCACATGGATGTGACTATTTCGAGTCAAAGTTATAGCGCCACCAACTGGCAGCAGGAAGTGTGTCACTTTCAAAATGCTTTGAAATCAACCTCTTATTTTTACCCGATTTGCTTCAAACTTCATCTGTATAATGTAAATACATGGCAGATGAAGACCTGTGAATGGATTCTTGATATCTTTGATACTGTTGCCGTGGCAACGCATCAAACTTTAAAATTCTTTTTTTTTTGATGATTTTGAGACTCTTAATGGCTTTTGAGGCCCTTAACGGGTTTGAAAACTCTTGAAACTTTGCACACAGGTCATATCCCACAGCCATCAGGCCCGGGCTGAAGATGGTACCTAGGCGTGGCAGGGGGGCTAGACAGCGCCCCCTGGAACGGGGTCCGAAAACTTGGTCCATAAATCAAACACGCTTGCATGTAATAATATGAATGAAAAACTTCATCTGTATAATGTAAACAGATGAAAAACTTCATCTGTATAATGATGAAAAACAGATGAAAAACTTCATCTGTATAATGTAAACATACGGTAGATGTAGACCTGTGAATGGATTCTTGATATCTTTTAAACTGTTGCCGTGGCAAAGCTTCAAACTTTGAAATTATTTTAGGATGCTTTTGAGACTCTTAGCATGCTTGAAATTGCATGAAACTCAACAGACACATCACATTTATTAGCCAGTAGACATGTGCAAAGTTTCAGAAACGGGCATGGTGCAGGGACTAAATAGCGCCACCTTTTGACAAAAGTGGGGTTGTTATTTTTATCTACAGTTACAAAAATCGTTATATACATTGTACTCCTCAAGCCAGACAACTTTCTAATTCATAGTCATTAGCTCAGACCAAGAGGAAGTCAGATATTTTGGTTTGAATATGGTGAGACTCTCTCTGAGCCTACGTCCGTGTATGGCAAGCCCTTTTAACATTTAAAAGCTAAGTTTGCCTATCCGGAAATTAACATTGTAGATATCAACAATGTCTTTCTGTCTAGTCGTAATTACATTTTGGATAGTTTGTATTATCATTTAAGATATCTGTAACATAATTGTGACTAGTCAAAATGACAGACTATGGCAAGCCGTTTTAACATTTAATCATGAAAGGGCCAAAGCCTTCGGCACCGCCACCCCGGTGCCTTTAGGTAACTAAAGGAGCCAGGGGTTGCGGTGCCACCGGCTTGGGCCCGCCATCGCTGCTCGCAGCTATATTTATTATTATTATTATTATTATTATTATTATTTATACGACTATTCGGGCACTTTTGGGGCCCTTAACATGCTCAAAAACTCTTGAAACTTAGCACACGGGTCAGAACCCGCGGCCATCAGGGCCGGGCTGAAGATGGTACCCGGGCGTGGCAGGGGGACTAGACAGCGCCCCCTGGAACGGGGTCCGAAAACTTGGTCCATAAATCAAACACGCTTGCATGTAATAATATGAAACTCGGTACACATGTTGATCTCATCGTTCATATATACCTCAAACTATTACTTTTTACCCCAGCCCAACAGGAAGTCGGTTATTTAGAGTTGTTCATAAAACACTCGCAATGGAATTTGAAGTACTCCTCCTAGAGAATTCAAACACACGGCACGAAACTCGGTCAGCATGAAGTCAAGGCATTGAGGATGAAAGTTTGCGAGGGGATTTTTGATATCTCGAACGGTTTGGCCGTGGCGAGGAAACGAAATTATGGCGAGAAACGTGAAACAGGAAGTGTGTTATAACTTCAGCATACATTAACTGATCTTGATGAAACTTCAGCAGTTTGTTCGCTGTAAGAGGACGATCACATGGATGTGACTATTGTGAGTCAAAGTTATAGCGCCACCAACTGGCAGCAGGAAGTGTGTCACTTTCAAAATGCTTTGAACTCACCCTTTTATTTTTACCCGATGTGCTTCAAACTTAATCTGTATAATGTAAATACATAGCAGATGAAGACCTGTGAATGGATTCTTGATATCTTTGATACTGTTGCCGTGGCAACGCATCAAACTTTAAAATTCTTTTTTTTTATGATTTTGAGACTCTTAGCGGCTTTTGGGGCCCTTAACGGGTTTGAAAACTCTTGAAACTTTGCACACAGGTCAGATCCCACAGCCATCAGAGCCGGGCTGAAGATGGTACCTGGGTGTGGCAGGGGGGCTAGACAGCGCCCCCTGGAACGGGGTCCGAACACTTGGTCCATAAATCAAACACGCTTGCATGTAATAATATGAAACTCGGTACACATGTTGATCTCATCGTTTCATCTATACCTCACGCTCTTACTTTTTACCCCAGCCCAACAGGAAGTCGGCTATTGAGGTTTGTTTGTAAAACGCTCGCAATGGAATGTGCAATACTCCTCCTAGAGAATTCAAACACACGGCACGAAACTCGGTCAGCATGAAGTCAAGGCATTGAGGATGAAAGTTTGCGAGGGGATTTTTGATATCTCGAACGGTTTGGCCGTGGCGAGGAAACAAAATTATGGCGAGAAACGTGAAACAGGAAGTGTGTTATAACTTCAGCATACATTAACTGATCTTGATGAAACTTCAGCAGTGTGTTCACTGTAAGAGGCTGATTACATGGATGTGACTATTGTGAGTCAAAGTTATAGCGCCACCAACTGGCAGCAGGAAGTGTGTCACTTTCAAAATGCTTTGATATCACCCTCTTATTTTTAACCGATTTGCTTCAAACTTCATCTGTATAATGTAAAAATACAGCAGATGTAGACCTGTGAATGGATTCTTGATATCTTTGATACTGTTGCTGTGGCAACAAATCAAACTTTAACATTCTTTTTTGATACTTTTGGGACTCTTAGCATGCTTGAAATTGCTTGAAACAGATAGATACAGATAGCTCGACAGATACATCACATTTATTAGCCAGTAGGCATGTGCAACTTTGGCAAAAGATTAAAGTAATGTCAAAAAAGTAAACAGTAAACACTAAAAGCCTCATATCTTCTAAAAATGTAATTATACATCATTTGTTTCTAAATTAAATTATACAAATATTATAATTAAACCAGTTTTTCCCTTTTTTCATTTAAGAATTATGTTTACGTTCAAAAACAGCCAGAATGGTTGTAAAATTCAGAAGAAGAAAAAATAATCTGAGTCATACGTAGTGCTATACTGCCCTCTTGTGTTCAATATCAGTTAGGCCTATTGTGTATATTCCCACCGGTTAATCAACGTGTGACTCCGCTGGGACTCGGGAACTTTTAAATCGCTTACTTAAAACCGAAAGTCAAAATACAGATATCCGCACAAGACATTAATGTTGTGGAGTAGAGCAAGCATTTTAAATAAATTCCTATTAAGTAGGATTGAACTAAACAGAATGAACGTTCACTCTGTTCTGCTGGTTCCTCGCTGTTGGCGCGCGCGCACAGTTATGAATGCTTGTGCA